AACCCAGGAGGCGGAGCTTGCAGTGAGCTGACATCCGGCCACTGCACTCCAGCTTGGGCAATGGAGTGAGACCCTATCTTAAAAAAAAAAAAAAAAAAATCCGTTGACTTGTTCAAGTGTTTAAGTTGATAGTATTTATTTTAAAATTCTGTAATAGCTAGTTGCTATGTCTTTCCCTTTACTGTCTTCAGTTTTTATTTAGACCAAGCTTGTCCAACCTGAAGCCTAAGACAAATTTGTAAACTTTCTTAAAGCATTATGAGTTTTTTTTTTTAAAGCTCGTCAGCCATTGTTAGTGAGGTTCATGTGTGGCCCAGGGAAGCCAAAAGATTGTACACCCCTGATTTAAAACCGTGTGTATACATGGATATATTGTAAACATTTGAAAGAAAATATTACCATCATATCTATATTAGAGTATCATATCTACTTCCTTGTATTTTAAGAAGACAATTGGTTAGAAGACCCTTTCATAATTAAGTAATTATGTAGTGTTATTTTGCCAGCTTCAGGTGGCCTAAAGCAGTGAGCTAAAGTTTGGTTTATTTGCCTTTGCTCCTGGTTTGGCCTGAAGGAATAATCATTTATTAGTAGCTGGCCAGCATAATGCTTTGATGTTTGAGGTTAGGTAAGGGGCTAATAGAAGGCCTTTCAGGCTTATTCACCTTTACTCAGAGATCTGTTTAGCTGTATATGTAACATCTGTTTTCCCTCCACAGAAAATCTGCAGCTGTGCCTAGGGGAGTTTCTACCCAGACTTTTAGATCCTTCTGCAGAAATCATCGTCTTGAAGGAGCCTCCAACTATTCGACCCAATTCTCCTTATGACCTATGTAGCCGATTTGCAGCTGTCATGGAGTCAATTCAAGGAGTTTCAACTGTGACAGTGAAATAAGCTCCCACATGTTCAAGGCCATTTTGGTTTCTGGCTGCCTGCCTCTTGCACAGAAGTTCGTTGTCACAGTGCTCACCTTGGGAAGAGCATTAGATGGGCACATAAGATTCCGATTCAGACCCCAACCATGCTGCATGTGTAAAGAAGGATTGAAAATAAAATTGCACTTTTTAGGTACAAAATTATAAAAGCTATTTCACTAGAAAAGGCAGAAAGCAGTGTATTAAGGTGTTGAATTACGCCAGAAGACCTGAAATGCCTTGTACCTACAACAATGCTTAGGCTTTTCTAAGCCTCTTGCCACTTTTAAAATTATCCTTCAGGCATAAATATTTTGGACAGCAGAATAGAAGAATGATTCATGAGAACCTAAACCAGACGAACATCTACTAGTTATTTTATCAAATACAGATGACATTTAAAAATTCTTAACTGCAAGAGATTAGAAATACAAACCTTGCCTGACTCTTGACAGGAGATGACAAAATGGGTTGCTGATGAACCGCGCCCTTTTATATGTGGGTAGAATATAAGATCACATGGCAGTAAGATGTTGAAAAGTCAAAAGAGACCTGTCTCTCTCCTTTCTTTTCTATCTTTTAAATAAACCAGAAAACCTCATACTCAGTCCTCAGTGAAAGAAAGGAAAACGTTAAGGACTTTAGACAGAACAGCATTGTGTAACTTGACTGAAGATCATGCATTAATAGTTGTTAGGCATTTAGGTAAAATTTTCTAATACCTAAAAATTGTCAAAAACAGTCGATAAGGCTTCTGCTGGCCCAAAGACTATTTTGGTTCACCTCCTCTTTTTTGCTCTTTTTTTTTTTTTTCTGAGACAGTCTCACTGGGTCGCCCAGGCTGGCGTTCAGTGGCGCAGTCTCAGCTCGCTGCAAACTCCGTCTCCTGGGCTCAAGTGATTCTCGTGCCTCAGTCTCCCGAATAGCTGGAATTACAGGCATGTGCCACCACACCTGGCTAATTTTTGTATTTTTAGTAGAGATGGGGTTTCACCATATTGGCCAGGCTGATCTCTAACTCCTGGCCTCACGTGATCCACCTGCCTCAGCCTCCCAAAGTCTGGGATTGCAGACGAGCCACCATACCCGGCCTTCTTTTTTGCCCTTAAAAGTAAGGGATGTGGGTTTGTTTAAAAAAACAAAAAAAAAACAAAAAAAAAAAGCGAAAGAAAAAAGCAGCATACATATGCAAAACTATATATATGTATATGTAGAGAAAAATACTTCCCACTGATCATTTTTAAAAGGCTTCTGATTGGATATTGTGTTTTAACCAAATTTTAAAGATTAATGGAATCATGAAAGGGAAGAACTCTTGATACAACTATGCAGATTTTATAAATGTGCAATAAAAGTATTTGTTTTACCTTTGGTGTGCAGTATGGTCTTTATTTAAATATGTATTTTCCATTTGGGAAATAGACGTACTTGGTATTTGTCTTGTTCCCATTTTTTTCTTTAAAACCAAAAAGCAGATTAAAGGGTTGATAAACTTGATGGGGACTGAAGTGCCAGTGTTTGAAATAAAAGGCAACAGTCAATTCTTGAGCAGCACCTAGTGATAACTGATACTTTTTAATCTCATTGGCTATTTGCATTGCATGTAAGCTCATCTACTTTGTAATTTGTCAAATTTTAGAATGCAAAACCAGCAATTTTCTTACAATGAAGTTTCTTATATAGTCATCCCTCAGCAGACACTGGCAATTGCTTCCAGGACCCCTGCATATACCAAAATCCGTGCATACTCAAATTCTGTAGTTGGCTTTGCAGAACCTACATATAGGAAAAGACCCTCCATATGCTTGGGTTTTCGCATCCTGTGAATACTCTTATTTTCAATCTGCGTTTGGTTGAAAAAAACTTCATGTAAGTGGACTCAGTAGTTCAAACCTATGTTTTTCAGGGATCAAACTGTACTTTGATTAATGGTAGGCCATGTTTTACAGATACTCAGAGGTGCTTTAGTGTTTTAAAACTCATTGCAAAGATTTTGTTTCATGGGAAGTTCATCAGTTTTCTTACTGATTACCTTTTACAGTTTAACATTCTGTGTACCACCATTTGCCTTTCACTTTTTAATGCCTGTCAATATTGAGTCCTGTGTGCAGTGCTTCAGCTATATTATTTTACTTAACACTGGGATGACGATAGGGACCATGATTTATCCAAGGTCATAGATCTTGTAAGTGGTAGAACTAGCACACTAATCCTTGGTGTGTCTGACTTCATAGCCTGTGCTTTTAGCAACTGTTCAACTGTCCTTGGTAGTCATGTAAAATATTTTGTTTTGTGTCTCCTTCACAGTAGTTATTTCCTGGTCAGCTATTGGGAATCTACAGTTGGCCAAGAAAGGAACAGGTGGACATCTGGAGTGTGTGGTGCTGAGTGGTCTGTATCATTTGGATCCACCAGGGGGAGTCCTGAGAACTATTAATAGTTTCTTACTCCTACCAGTAGCTGACTACCTTGAGGTACAACCAAAGGCTTCCACAAACTAAGGTCTCAGACTGGTTTGTTTGTTTTTTTCACAGCTGTCAGGCTAAGCATTTTTTTTTTCTTTTCAGAGAGGGTCTCACTCTATCCCCCAGGCTGGAGTGAGTGGCATGATCTCAGCTCACTGCAGCCTCCGCCTCCTGGGCTCAAATGATCCTTCCACCTCAACCTCCCAAGTAACTGAGACTACAGGTGTGCACCATCACACCCTGCTAATTTTTGTATTTTTAGTGGAGATGGGGTTTTGCCGTGTTGCCCAGACAGGTCTCAAACTCCTGGGCTCAAACGATCCCTTCGCCTTGGCCTCCCAAAGTGCTGGGATTACAGGCATGAGCCACTGTGTCTGGCCTGGTTTTTACCTTTTTAAAGACTTGAGAAGAATAAGGACATGGGGAAGAAGAAATCTATGTGACCCTTACCCAAAATGATTCAAGAGTTTGAGCAGGATACCTCACCTCAGCATAAATTCTCTTGAGACTAGATTTAGACTGGGTTAACTGGAATTGCAATCATCTTCTGTTTGGATTTGTTAGCTCCTTTAAGAACTAGCAGGCATGCTAACTCATTTTTACCCTATCCACTTCAAGAACATATGAGGTAGATAACATATAACAAAACAATTTAGTGAATAAGAGACAAGGATCAAGTGGAGTGCTGGGAATGTAGCAAGGGTAGGATAGAAGGGATGGTGTCAGAAGTCATGTAGCTGTTTATTCATTTTCCTTGCTCAGTTTATTGGATTTCATTGTATGACCATATTCACCATTTATTGTCCTTTGAGCTCCCCATTTTTGGCTGCTAATGCACAATCCTACCAAGAACATTCATTGTACATGTCTTGATGCACACATGAGTGCATTTCTGTTGGTGTATAACTACAAGTAAAATTACCAGGTCATATAACCAAAATGGTTATACCAGTTTGATCCCACCGTCGGTTTGTGAGTTCCAGTTGCTCCATATGCTTGTCAACATTTGGTTTTATCAGTATTTTTAATTGTAGCCATTCAGGAAAGTGCACAGTGATAATCTCGTGGTTTCGATGTGCACTTCCTGAATGCTAACATCGAGCCTCTCTATGTACTTACTGGTCTTTGGTCATTGTTTTTTTGTAAAATACCTATTTAGGTCTTTTGTTCATTTTTGTTGTTGGATTTATGGTCTCTAAGCTATTGATTTATAGGAGTTCTTTATATCTTCTAGCTATGGAGCCCTTATTGGTTGTATGCATTGCATGTATCTTCTTCAACTCTGGCTTTTCACTCTTGGTGTCTTGATGAAAATAAGTTTTTGATATTAATATATTTGAATCTATTCATCTTTTCTTTCATGCTTAGTGCTTATAATGTCCTCTTGAAATTATTACCCAAGGTCATAAAGATATTCCGTTACCTTTGGGAAGTTTCACCTTTTTTGAGACAGAGTCTCGCTCTGTCACCCAGGCTGGAGTGCAGTGACACGATCTCGGCTCACTGCAGCCTCTGCCTCTCGGGTTCCAGTGATTCTCCTGCCTCAGCCTCCCAGGTAGCTGGGATTATAGGCATGCGCCACTATGCCCGGCAACTTTTTGTATTTTTAGTAGAGACGAGGTTTCACCATGTTGGCTAGGCTGGTCTTGAACTCCTGACCTCAGGTGATCTGCCCGCCTCGGCCTCCCAAAGTGCTAGGATTACAGGTGTGAGCCACCATGCCCAGGCAAGTTTCACCTGTGGTAGTTCATGGACCAACCCCTGTTTATTGAAAATATCGTCCATTTTCCAGTGCCTTGCAATGCTACTAGTTTTGTCATAAATCAGGTGTGTTCACAGGGGTCTGTTTCTGGGCTCTTTTGCCTGTTCCATTATCCTATTTGTCTGCTTGTACAAATGTCATACTTTTTTTTTTTTTTTCCGAGACAGAGTCTTGCTCTGTCACCTAGGCTGGAGTGCAGTGGTGTGATCTCAGCTCACTGCGAGCTCTGCCTTAGGGTTCAAGTGATTCTCCTGCCTCAGCCTCCTCACGTGGTTGGGACTACAGGCCCATGCCACCACACCCGGCTCATTTTTGTATTTTTAGTAGAGACGGGGTTTTGCCATTCTGGCCAGGCTGGTCTTGAACTCCTGACCTCAGGTGATCTGCCCACCTTGGCCTCCCAAAGTGCTCAGATTACAGGTGTGAGCCACCGTACCCGGCCTTCACACTTTCTTAATTAGTATAGCTTTGTAACAAGTCTTTATTTCTTGATTTCTGGTAAAACAACTTCCCCCCAGTTTTGTACTTCAAGATTGTGTTGGCTATTCATTTTTTGTTTGTTTGAACAGGGTCTCGTCACCCAGGCTGGAGTGCAGTGGTGTGATCATGGTTCACTGCAGCCTCAACCTCCCAGATTCAAGTGATCCTCCCACCTAGGCCTCTTGAGTAGCTGGGACAACAGTAGCCTGCCACAAGACCTGGTTAATTTTTGTATTTTTTGTAGAGATGGGGGTCTTACTATGTTGCCCAGGCTGGTCTTGAACTCCTGTGCTCAAGTGATCCTCCCAGCTAGGCCTCCCAAAGTGCTAGGATTACAGGCGTGAGCCACTGAGGCTGGCCTCTTGGCTATTCTTGATCCTTTGCATTTTGGCATACATTTTAGGATCATTTTGTTAGTTTTACACATGCACACACAAATCTCCAGCTATTTTTTATTAAGTTTACAGTGACAAGATAATTTGGGAAAAACTGACATCTGCATGGTGTATCTTTTTTTTTTTTTTTGAGATGGAGTCTCGCTGTGTCGCCCAGGCTGGAGTGCAGTGGTGCGATCTCGGCTCACTGCAAGCTCTGCTTCCCGGACCCACGCCATTCTCCTGCCTCAGCCTCCCGAGTAGCTGGGACCACAGGCGCCCGCTACCGCACCCGGCTAATTTTTTGTATTTTTAGTAGAGATGGGGTTTCACCGTGTTAGCCAGGATGGTCTCGATCTCCTGACCTTGTGATCCGCCTGCCTTGACCTCCCAAAGTGCTGGGATTACAGGCGTGAGCCACCGCGCCCGGCCGGTGTATCTTATTTTTTAAAGGTTTTTCTTAATTTTTATATAAAGTTCTTCCACCTCTGCCAAACGATTTATGCCTGGGTTTTTTTGTGTTTTGACATTCTGGTAAATGTCATTTTTCAGATTGCATTTTTATTCTCATATCTAGAAGTGAATTGATGTTTAATAGTTTATAGACTTCAAAAGATTTTTGTATACATAATTAGGTAATCTGTGAATGATGACTTTTATTTCAAATTCTTACAACTTTTATTTATGTTTCTTGCCTGATTACACTTACTAGGACCTTTGGTACAATGCTGAATATATAGATGGTGAAAAGTGGGCATCTTTGTCCCCTAGTATCTGGTGGTGGGGGGAGTTCAATATTTCACCATTAAGTATGCTGTAGGTTTGTTGTAAATTTCACTTACTAGGTAGAAAACGATTCCTTCTGTTACTAGTTTGCTGAGTTTTTTTTAAGCTTGAATTTTTATCAAATGCTTGTATGTATATCAAAATGATTACATAGATCTCGTTCTTTATTCTGTTAATGTGTGAATTACATTTCTCGATCTCCAATGTTAAACTAGCCATGTGTTGTCAGAATAAGGTAAATTTGACCATGATTTTTTTTATATGTAGGTGGATTTTTGCATGAATATTCGTAAGACAGATTGACCTCGTATTTTCATTTCTTATAATGTGCTTGTTAAGGTGTTGGTGTCAAGATTATTCTGGCCTTATTGAATGCATTGGCAAGTGGTCTCGTTTTCTATGCTCTGGAATAGTGCCTGTAAAATAGGGTTATTTCTTCCTTGATTGGAAGAATTCATTGTTGAAGCCATCTGAGCCTGGAATTGTCATTTTGGTTTGT